AGTTGAGCTTTTATCATAGGAAGATGCAGCGAAGCTTCCTCTTTCAGAATATGTATAGTTTTTTGGAAAATGATCAGATTTTCAAAGACTTATCGCATGAAACTTTAAATCGACTACCATGTTTTCGGAGAAATTTCCATGGTTTTCAGTTTCAGAAAAATTGCGCTCCCACTTGCATTATTATTGAATAGAATATTTTTATATGAACCAGCACGTCAGATAGCGCTAGCTACCTTCATATTTTACGTCCTTTAAAATGGTGCAATGGAATATACCATTGTAATATGGCTTGCCCTGGATTTGAATGAAAAAATCCATTTCTAAAAATTTTTTAGCATTTTTCTCAGAATATGGTTTCTCAGCAGGAAAATTGGAATCACTCCATCCCGGTCTTGGGTATTATTCAATATTTTTTTTTGTTTTAAAGCTCTGAATCAGGGCTAACTTTTTATCAGACGGATTTTTGATCCATTTCTCCTAGGCTGAGAAAAGTGGAATTTACTGTCGTTCGAGTGATGTGTTTTTCAGACCTGCCCAGTAAAATGGTCATAAAAAATGAATGGAAAGGAGTTTCAAAAATCCGTCTGATGAAAAGTTGCGCACAGAGATTAGCTTTAATTTGACACCACCCCGAGCTCTCTAGCCTTTACTACGACTGAGTGATTCTCATTCTCCTGGGAGTATGAAAACAGGCCGTAAGTTCGATCTACTCGAGTGTATCGAGCTGAAATTTTTATCACAAGCGTATCTCACCAGGACCACTTGTTCCTGGAAGTTTCAGCCCAAATGGTTCGTTTTAAGTGAGAAATCGTTCCTGAGGGGGGGGGGGGTCCCCTTAAGACGGCGGAGTTATTTGCATTATACTTAGAGACCCGAAAAACACCGAAAACGGGAATAACTCTGTCCCATTAACTCAAATCTCCGTAATTCACCCACCGTTGGAAAGAGTGTCGAAAACTGCACAAGATGATAGGTGAACGAAAGGGGTTCGACTTACTTGGACTTCGATAGACTCAGAACAAGAGAAAGAACAAATGCAGATCGCTTAAACTTTTGCCGTAGACTATATAATAATAGAACTCCTATCGCAGAAAAGTGTATTTATTAGATTGGAACTCTTATCAGAGAGAAATGTTCCAAATATAAATTAGTACACCTATGCGATGTGTTCTTTTGACGAAATATACATCAGGTAAATGGTTCATTTAATTTTTAGTATTGATTTTTCTGGTTTCTTTCTGACAAGATAATCTTGAAGATTATCTAATCTTCTAAAACCGATGATTGGCTTCATATTACGAATGGCTGTATCTGAAAAGCAATTGTTCCAAAGTTTATGAAAACGGGTTGAAAAATCATGCATTCCTTTGCAATAAGAGAAATGACACATGATATTAACTCCGAAATCAATTCCAGCCTTCTTTGTATTATTATCTGCAGCGTTTAATAAAATCTTTCTTATTTCAAAATAGTTATTTTGTGTAGGCGTAGCGCACTGAAATGTCTGTACGACTCTTTCAAATTGTTTAAGAATAAATTCTATTGGATATTTGTTAAGCAGCAGTGACATACATATATGAGCTTCTTCATGTTTGAAAGCATTATATGTCGAAGAATATCTGATTGCTCTTACAAGAGCTCCATATGGGATATTCTTCTTTATATGCTTAGCATGTACGCTTGTGAAAGGAAGAAAATATGGTTCATGTGAGGGTTTATGAAAAACCTCAGACATAAATTTTTCTCCACTAATCATCAATCTTACGTCAAGGTACTCTGCAGTTTGTCCAATAGATTCTGAAAACTCGATATTCTTATCGATTCTATTCCAGAAATTTACAAGATCTTTTAATATATCTGCATGTACGTTTGACATTATGAATAAATCATCAATGTATCGAAAGTATAATGAACATGTTTTGTTGGCCCATTTTGAAATGGGACGTTCAACAAAGTACATGTATGCATTAGCTATAATGAGGGTCAAAGGTGAACCCATAGCTCCACCTCTTATTTGCTTATAATATGACCCATCAAGATAGAAATAATTATTAGCTATAACAAATCTGGTAAGAGCTAATATAATCTCTTCAGGGATGGCCCGAGTCAACCAACAATGGGGGGGGGGGGGGGGGGGGCGAAGTTTTTTGCGGAAAAAGGGGGAATTTTTTAATTTTGGGGGGGTGTAACATTATTTTTCATGACAAA